CCCCTGTTTCTTGACACTCCTGTTCCACATTTTCCCTAACTTGTATGATCCATCATGAGTCCTGTCAGCCTGGGGCCCAGCCTGGGCCTGCTATTGAGCTAACGGCCACCAGGGGGGTCAGAGACAACTCCACATATCCTCCCCATCCCCTCTCTAGAGAAGAGCCGTGATGGCATTCAGGACACACCTGGGACACATTCAGACCTTCCCTGCTCAGGGATGTCACCGTCAGCTTATTAATGTGGCAGAAGGAAATGGAACCAGTCAATGCAGCCTGTACTGTCCACAGCAGCAGCAGCTTGCCATGCAGAGAAACTCTGGCAGTGAAGCCAAAGGAAGTGGGAGGCAGGTGTGACCACTCACTCAACACTGCAGTGTGCTCACCTGGGCTGTTGAGTCACGGGGGCTCCCTGACACATGGTGCAAACTCCTTGCTGGGCTACACAGTCATCACCACCCCTCTAACTACAGATTGCTCTATTTACTCTCAGTGGGCATGCAGGGGAGATGCCTTTGCTTCAGGTATTCCAGGCAAATGTCCCCCATTCTGCCCAGTCCAGGAGCATGGAGGTGCATGGCAGAAGGAGCATTTGGCATCAGGTGTATTGGTTTAAGTGCTGGCATTGCTGAGTCAGATGTGGGAGAGGGCCAGTGGTCTGAGAAGTGGTAGCAGGTGACAGCACTGGACCCCCAGGAGTGACTGCAAAGCAGCTACAGAATTGGCCCTTTACCATGTGCCGTAGAAAAGGCAATGGTGGAGACGCTGGTTTCCAAATGGAGCGGGGTGTGGCTACGGACACGTGACTCGGGAGACAGTGGTGCCAAACGGAACACCGAGATGCTGCATCTTCAGTTCCAAGCCCTCCTGAAAATGGGAAGTGTGTGCACAAGGCACCAGCTATCTGTTACGGCCCAGGCTAGCCATGGAAGAGCGCCTGAAAGTGTGGCAGCGAGAACCAAGAGTGAGGTGGATAAACTGTGATCTTGACAGAGCGTGTCTGCCCTGCCTGGATATCTAAAAAGCATGGGCTACACTCCCAGAGCCCTGACCCAGCATGCACTGGGGTCGGTGTAAACCCTGGGGCGGTGTCTCTGGTCATTTCAGCTGTTCTATAGTCCAGGCTAGGAACTTGGAGGGGCTGTCCCCAGGACATTACATCATCCACAAAGAAGTCCCTGAAGGGATGCCCTGATGCCAAGGTGAGCATTCAGGTTGGTTCCTGGGAAGCCATGTGGCGCCTGTCCCCACCCTCCATGTCAGTGCCTGCGGGTGCCATTGCTCCATCGTGCTAGGACTATCACACACTGGCTAATAACCGCCGTAGGGGTCACTGCCATGGTGTTGGCATGGCTGGGGGGGCAAAGGCCTCTGCAGAGACTGGTGAAAGGTGCAGGGTGGGCATTTCACTGTTCTCCTTGGCAATATCAATTCCATGGGTTCACGCACATGAGACCAGAACGCTATCCAGTGGCATAGTCTGGACAGCAACCCCACAGGATGGAAAATGGTAATGTTCCCGGGGCCAGCCCCCGATCCACTCCAGCCGGGTCAGGCCCTGGTACAGATAATGTGCATTGCGGTCAGCCAGGTGGTGGGCTCAGCACTCCCCTTGCAAGAGAGAGGAGAAGAGGCAGGGCTGGATTTCTGTGCCCTCGCTTGCTGAACCCCACGCACGATGGGTCTGCCTGGGGAGGGATTAGCTTTGTGTTTGGGAGGCGGGGGAGGGCGAAATCCCTGTTTGGCGAGTCTGAGGCCTAGTCTATGCCTAAAATGCAGGTTGATCTAGCTACGTGACTCAGGGCTGTGAATAATTCCATACCCTGTGTGACCCTTCCCCCCGCGCCACTGTAGATGCAGCTAGGTTGACGGAAGAATGCTTCTGTCGATGTAACTACTGCGTCTCAAGGGGGTGTAAAAATCCCCTCTGTTGCTGCACCATGTGTCTACACTACAGTGCCCAGCGACTTAGCTGTGTAGACATTCCCTGAACAACACCCACCTTTGCTGTTCTGTGGCTCTTTTGGAATTTGTGTTAAATTCTCTGGCTTGGAAGTGAAAGCTGGGTAGTGTCAATAACAAAGAGACTTGTCTATGCATAATCGAGCATGTTCCTCTACCTGCTAAACTGGAATTCCATTTCCTGCTCCCCTGGACCCCAGCTCCAGGCGATCCCAAAGTGAGGATCACATCGCTGTCACAAGCATCCTGCAGTACTGTGTGCCTTTCTACACCTTGGAGGAGATGGTATGATGGGATAACATGATTGTGGCAATTAACTGATCTCTAAATATTCATGGTAAATAGGCCCAATGGTCTGTGATGGGATGTTAGATGGGGTGGGATCTGAGTTACTACAGAAAATTCTTTCCTGGGTGTCTGGCTGGTGAATCTTGCCCATATGCTCAGGGTTTAGCTGATCGCCATATTTGGGGTCGGGAAGGAATTTTCCTCCAGGGCAGATTGGCAGAGGCCCTGGAGGTTTTTCGCCTTCCTCTGTAGCATGGGGCAAGGGTCACTTGCTGGAGGATTCTCTGCTCCTTGAAGTCTTTAAACCACAATTGGAGGACTTCAATAGCTCAGACATAGGTGAGAGGTTTTTCACAGGAGTGGGTGGGTGAGATTCTGTGGCCTGCGTTGTGCAGGAGGTCGGACTAGATGATCATAATGGTCCCTTCTGACCTTAATATCTATGAATCTAAGGACTGGCATGCACAAGATCGCAGCACTCACAAGCACGCACACAGAGGCGAGGTGAAAAATCAGAGAACAAAGGCTGGGAATTATTAAACTTCAAGCGATCTCAGAGCAAACCGTCTGCAGTGCCCAAATATTAATCAGAGCTGAGCACAAGCACTGGCTTATGCAGCACTTGCAAAAGGAAGCAGCTTTGGAGGAGCTGAAATGGAGCCACCATGCTTCAGGGGTAGGAGTGGAGGAGGAATGGGGCATGGATGCAGGGAGTTCCTAGCATGTGATGGGTGTGTCTTTCTGCTACAGCCCACGGAGCACTGAGTATGCACTGAAGTGTTTTGTTGTTGGTCTGTTTTGCACTGGCGGTTTTGAAATATCGAAGATCCAACTGAGACTACCTCAGAGAGCATAAAACGGAGATGCTGCTGAGGGTGTGTGTGTGTGTGTGTGTGTGTGTGTGGTTAAATATGGGGAACTGAATGCTTGCCATAGTCCCCTACAAACCAGCCAGCCACCCAAACAAATAGGATGGGAGTCAGAACCTACGTGAGCCACGGACGATCCTGACCAGGAGACATGGCCCCGTTTGGAGGCAGGAGCTCCAGAAGGACCTGCTGGATGACGACCCTTTTCATCGCTTCGCAAAATAGAGTTATACAAAAATAATGTTGCAGATATGAGGTGTTGAGCTTGGTGTAGAGTCCTACCAGGCCAGTAAAGCTGTAGCTTCTGAGGGAACCGGCATGTCTGATTGGATCTTTAAAGGCAAAATATGGATCATGGGCTAGTTAAATTGCTGGGCTATAGTAGCTCAACTGAGAACAGCTGCAATGGCAGATGTGTGTGGGATACAGAGTAATGCTGACCCAGGTGAGGGGAGGGTAGCACCAGGAGGAGGGGCAGATGTACTATAGTAATGTGGGGACCTGCAATGTGGTGAATGGAATTTGCATCTTGAGTGGGATTGAGGGTGTGCATGAGTGGAACTGTGGGGAGCAGAGATGGGAAGGCAGGGAGGGCGTAAGCTATAGATTAGCCCCTTGCAATAAGGATAAACTCCAGGACTCTACTATGGAGTAACCCCCCCATTCCCAGAGGCTAATTATCTTTTCTGTAGCATGAGTAAAAAGCCCAGAGGGCAGGTGTAGCATGGGCAGCAGCAGGGCAAGCATCACCGGCCCACCCCGACTGATGTGCCTCACCCCAATTTAGTATGGCTGGCTCTAGAGCAGAGAGGAGCATTTCGTCTCCGTGGTTCCATCCAGGCCCCAGTTCAGCAAGGTACACGTGTCTAACTTTGAGCACCTGAGTTTTCCTGTTGAACTGGGACCTCAGACCTTGGCTGCTCTGCCGAGGCTGCCAACAGGATTTTGTGATGTTGATACTAATGCATTAGAAACGGGGCCATGCGGCTGCCGTGTCACGCAGATTGCAAGGGCCTCATGTAGTTTGCAAGCTCCTTGGAGCAGCGGCCATTCTTACCTCCTTTGGAGTGGAACAAGTGCATCATTAGGGCTTAGCAATTACTAGCGGGCCCTGGCACAGCCATCAAGGGACCCATCTTTGATCACGACTGGCCTAGGCTGAATTCCCATTGCTAATGACTTGGAGCTGAAAAGCTCCATGTTCCGTCACACCCCCGAGTCATCCACTCCCTGGAAAGAGAAGTTAGGCCAAAATCTTGCACCCAGAAGACCACCTCAGGAGAAGCAGTTCACCCATCCGTGTCTCGTACTTAACAGGATGGAGTGTTACAGAACTATTACTCCTTAGAGGCTTCAGACACCCATGAGGGAGCTCAGTAGGTTCCTAAGCCTCCTTGTGAGCCAGCTGTCTGATGCCTTCTTGAGGGCTGGTTCTCTGGGCCTCGTGCAGTCATTCACACCCGTGCGGCCTGGGCAGAAAGCACCTCCGTCGGGGTGAGTGGAGGGTTCTAATCTGGCAGCGTTTCACATGCACATCGCACAGGTGCCCCTGACTGCACACGGTGCCGGCAGTGGAGAGCCAGGCCCTTGAGGCTCCTCAGCTCGGTGCACTGACGCGCTCTGCCAGGGAAAAGGAGAAGTTTTTCCTTCTGACTGAGGTGACGTTATGCAAGGACCTAAAAAGCCAACGTGCATACACAGAATTCCCACACACTGAAACCCATTGGGACCCAGGTAACAACACTCTCTGGATCTCTTTGTCTGCTGCAAAGGAAGACTTAACATTTGAGGTCTTCCACGGATCCAGTGTCTGTACTCTGAACCTACGCAGAGTGTTCTGCTCTGACTGTGCCCGATGCATCCCTACTGCCCCCCAGCTTTACCTGTGATCTCATGCTGCCTGAGCTCGTTGTATCTGTAGGACTGCTCCAGGGGTTTGATGGAGGAGTGGTAGATCTTCCTCAACCGCTGCAGTGTTGCTACAGATTCAAGGGGTGATAAAATAGGAACAAATCAAACTCAAAGCTATTCCCAGATGCCTCTGGTGTCCTGATCATCTTCTTTACCTCCCTGGCTCTCTTTCATGTACGCACACAGAGGCAGTGCAGATAAACAAGCAAACAAATCTCCATTTGGCTGTTGGAATAGGAGGCCTCTTGTTGTGGGTAGAGATTTCTGGTCGGGACAGATATTAAGAATGGGCATGAAATCTCATGATAGCAACGGACTTGAGTCAATGACCGGGGAGGTGCCCTACAATCCTATGTTCCCATCTTTAGAAAATAAAGTACCACAGAATAAAACCCTTTGAGATGCTCTGGATTAAGCGCTGTAGTTAGAGAAGGGATGCAGATTCCAGGCCTGTCCCAGGAGCTGTTTCTGTGGCATTAACCTCTGTTCACTGGGATGTAGCTGCTGCCTGGCTGTAGCCATTGTTCAGTTTTGATTTGTTTCTGTGGAATCGCCCATAAAAGACACAGAGGAAGCAATCCTGTGGTTCTGGCACGAACTCCACTCCCACCTCACAGATCTCCTCCTCTGCCAAGGCCCTCTCAAGCCTTAGAACTTTCGCTAATTTTCCATTCGTGATGGGAGAAATTCATTGGGTTTAAGGGGTTCGTTCAAATAAGTACCCAAAAGTTCAGGGGTGAAATCCTGGCCCCATTAATCTCTTTGGCAAAAGTCTCATTGGCATCATTATGGCCAGGATTTCACTCCAGATGCTTTCCCCAACCTTCTCCAAACCTGCACACGTATCAGTACATTGGGTAAGAAAACCCATGATTCATTACTATTTAATATTTGATCCACAAATTCCTAAAGGGCCCTTCATTGTGGTGTCTGGGTGCTAGTGAGAACAGGCTCTCTCATGACATGCCCAGTACATCTTCATTTCTGCAGGCCAGAAGAGTGGCAGGAACAGCTCTTCCCGCAGTATTTTGGTGCTTCTTCATCTTGTCCCAGCGGACACTGGGGAGAGCAGCAGCAAACGATAAGTTTCAAAAATGAAAAACAAAACTTCTTTAAAAGCTGCTCAAAACTTTTTTGCTCCTCAATAAATGTTCAGGGCTGGGCTGTATTGGGCTGGCTTTGAGGGGAGCTTATGTCCGTTCTTATTTTTGTGGCTCTCCAGACTCTTATCTGAACTTCCCTCTTATGCACACCACGTGTATGTCTTAGAACTATCGGAACTATGGAAATCCAGGGGAAAGGTACGCATTTACGAGGCAAGAAACCGAAGGAGAAGGTGAAAAGTTACCAGCTTTGTAAGAAACAAGATTTAAGACTAAAAAATAAGACATTGCCACTTGTGCTTTTTGTTTAACTACATGATTCTGTCTTTCAGAGGTGGGAGACAAGTCTGCACTTAGAGGCTACTGAATAAATGGCCATCTCCCATGGCCTGGCCCCAGAAGCCACAGAATCTCGCCAAATCCCAGTCTCTATGTCTGAGATAGAGTGGGTCCCCCATTGCACCCAACCACCTACTTGCTTCCTGAGTGTATTTCCTACCCCGCCCCCTTTTCGCACACCCGTTGCCACACTCCTACCTGAGTAGTCATCTGCAGGTTTAGCCTCACTCAGTTTAAGGGTGCTCTCTATATGGGAACGGTCCCTCTTGGCAGTCTCTCCAACATCTTCTGTCTCTTCTGGAGAAAAAGGAAAACAGCACGTTAGCCATGTCTGAAATCAAGACTAGGAAGAGCATGCAAACCACAGCATGACTTGGTGAGTGACTCCCTGGCCACAGCGGGGGCTGAGAAGCATCTTTAACCCCCTTGCCAGGGAAGAATCTTTGAACCACTAAGTCATTAATGGGTTTGGCTCACCACTCTGTTTTTATTGCAGACACTTCTCCCCCGCCCTCACAAAACTTTGCTGAGGCTCCCAAGAGAGGTGTCTGTTGGTGCCAATTGTGATTACGGCTTTGCAATGTGGTGATCTTTCTATTTGGTTCTGGAGAGAGACCTGCGACTGACCCACTTAGTGCTGTTGGCATGTTCCTCATAATTTGGAAAGTCACAGATTCATAGATTCCAAGGCCAGAAAGGACCATTCTGATCATCTTGTCTGTATCACAAGCGCCCATAGAACTTTCCCAGAATAACTCCCTCCGAACTACAGCACATCTTTAAAAACCATCCAATCTTGATATAAAAATGTCCAATGATGACCATGGCCCTGGGCAAACTAAGAAATAAGCGCTTGACATCAATACTATGAATGCAAAATATTCATCTGAAAGGGATGCTTGATAATAAAGAAAACCATTAAGCAATATGTTCAGCTGATCAACTTGCACATGCCAGCTTGCTGGATAGCAGTCCCTGGCCTGGCACTGATATGGGCAGAAAGATTTCAATATGTCTTCACCTGCAGCTGTTCAGACCCGAACTACAACACTTTAATAGCAATAGTGCTAACGCCCAGTTTTAGTCTAGCTATCCCCTCTGCCTCTCCACCCAGCCATCTATCTGCAGAAGAGTTAAATGCCTCCCACTTCCACGCTTTACAAACCAAAAGTGAAAATGAAAAGTGCTGATATTGACGACGGAGGACACTGGGTGAGGCAACCTGGGCCTGCTGGACGGCCCTGGCCTGCCGCTTGCCACGCCCAGGTTCAACTCCCAGCTGTGCCACAGAATCCGTGGGTGACCTCGGACAAGTCACTTCACCTCATTGGGCCTCAGTTTCCCCATCTCTCAAATGGGGACTGGGGAGAATAATCTTTCCTTTCCCCTACCGTTTGTCTGTCTTGCCATTTAGACTGTCAGCTCATTGGGAAAGGGTCTGGCCCTTGCTATGTGTTTGTACAGCACCTGGCATAATGGGGGCACTGCTTTTGGTTGGAGTCTCTAGCTGCTACTGTAATAATAATAACCCTGAAGGCTACATCATCAGCCTAGGGGAGAGGGCTGTAGCACAAGACAAACTGCTTGGAACAGAATAGGGCTATATATCTATATCTCCATTTAATGTCAATATGAATATTAGTGTTCAAAGTGTATGCAGTAGGATGTATCACACAGGGGGTTTGTCTGGCCTTGTAGGTATCTTGACCTCTATAGATGCATTAGTGGCCCTATCCAGCTCCTATTAACGTCCGTGGCAAAGCTCCTTCTGAAAGCAGCAAGTGCAGGATTGGGCTCTAGGCTCAAGAATGGTTTGCAAACAGCTCTGTGACCAAACATATTCCCAGCCCATCCTGTTGGGAATAGGGCCATCACTGACCACATGGGCAGCTCTTGTTCTCACGCTCCTCACTAGCCTGAGAACCTGAACTGAAGCGCACACACATCATGCAAAGAAAGGGCTTTTGGATTTGCCAAAAAAAGCCACAGAGACTCAGCTCTGGTTACATCTGGGCCCCAGCAGCCGCTCAGTAGCTCCGTATGTGACAGCACAGCACTAAGTGAGGGGAGGGGAAGGGAGTTGGCGGGGGGGGGGGGGAATTCTCCTCATTGTGGAAGCTAATCAGTGACAAACGCTGAATAATTTATGTGACAGATTTCATGAGTAGGTCCAAAGAAAACATGGGACGGATAATTTTTCATTCTTCACCCACAAACTCACCTGTGACTGACGGGAGCGTGCGGTCTGTGCAATTTGGAAATTTCCCAGGAAGCCGGCAGAAAGCTGGTAAAATCTAGGGCCCCGATCCTGTACTATGTAGCGTGAGAGCGGGTGGCTGTGACCATGCCAAGCGCTGCTGAAGTCAATGGGGTTCTGCCCCGGTTTGCATTCTGCCCATGAGCTGCACATTTCAGGAGCAGGACCTAGGCCTCCTTTTTTCATGATTTGGTGTTAATGTGAATGCCCAGTTCATCTACCCACCTTTCCCCTTCTAGTGCTCGGGGGAAAACAATCCCAGCACTGCTCAGAGAGCACCTTCTGAAACAATAATGCAATCTGTGAAGAACTGGGGACTTGTGTAAAGACTTATCTAAGATTTCCCTTGGAATTCACGTCTTTGGAAGGGATTATCACTAAGGGGGATCATGAGTGATTCCTCAGCGAAGGCTCAGGTTCTAACCTGCTATTCCCAGGATAGCTCATTCCCCTTAGTTTGATTTTGATAGCTTTGCAAACTGGTGTATGCTGGACACTTCCCCCAGTCTAGATCCAATTCTCTTGTGTTGTCTCTTAAATCGCCAGGTTGTGTGAAAGGTGTGGAGTATTTCGAAGTGTTTGTATTCCTTGGACCTGGCTCTCTACTGTCTCATGGCCCATGTAATCATCTACGCCAGGGCAAAGCACTGGTGCATTAGGAGCGGATTGCAGTGGAACGGTGTCCTGGTCCATTTGCTGCATGGAGCATGCCATTTTGTTCTGTGAGGTCACACTGGCAGGGGTATTCTGGTAAATGTCCATTCAGGACTACCCCACTGGTACAAAGTGATGTCAGTCACCATCACAGCAGAATGTTAGCACTCACTTTGCACTGGTATCAATGACTGCACAAAGCACAGAGCCGTGGAGAACCAAATACTTCCTTTGCCTTTAGAAGTATTAGGACATGAATTCATTGCTGGTGAAAGGGGCCATGTTGGCTCCTGGACATGTCTGTCTGTTTTTATCCGCAGAACAGGTCCAAGCCAACCTTTGCCCAGTTCACCCCCTGCCAATGTGCCCCAGTCCTGGAGGGACCACCTGTAGTGCTGAGAGAGGAGTTCAGTTGCCATGGCCCATGCATCTCTACTGAGGCTCCCAACAGGTGCTAACTGGGGTGGAGCTGGACAACCCATTCCTGGGAAATGGGGAGGGAACATAACACTTCATTTCATGCAGGACATGGCAGAGCTATCAGATGGCAATGGATATTGGTTACTGTTGACCTTGTACTAATTCAGCTTAATGCCCAAGGGGTGAAAGCCTTCACCTCCCATTACCAATCCCCAAGTACCAACTGCAGCCCATTTCCACCCCATATCACCAATGCCACCCCTCCTGGTTTTGGCAGGACAGGGATTTCCGCTCTGAGCAGCTGGTTAGCACAAGCGTTAGAACAAGGGCCGTGCACTGGGTGCAGTTTAATGTCTGCCAAGCTCAGCGATGCTCTGGGTTTGATAGTGGTTCACTAACCAATGCCCTTTGCTGTTAGGCTATTACTACTTGCACGCCTAGTAACAAAAAAGTCAGACCTATTTGTCTGGGGTCAGGTACAGCACCAGCAGGAGGATGGTTGCTGCCAGGTGGGCTGTCTGTTTCTGCCACTAACTGCGCATCCACAGAAAGGCTTCCTGCTACAGTTGGGCTACTATTGTGAGAGTGATCTTTGTCCTGCTCCATGTCTCTGCGGGGTGCATTCTCCTGGCCTGCAGGATCAGACTCAGCTTCTGCTTCACTGATCTGTTCCTCTTTGACATGGCCATGGTCTTCCATGTCACTAGCAGCCTTTCGGGCATCTGGGGCAATGACTTCTTCAGCCTCTTCCTCTGACTGTGCCAGGCCAGCCCCCTCTTCCTCTGCTGGATCACCATCTTCCTCTGCTGGGTCAGCCCCTTCTTCCTCTGCCTCTGCCAGATCACCACCGACTTTCTCTGCTGGGCCAGGAGCCTCTGCCGGGACAGCCCCCTCTCCTTCATCACCACCCTCTTCCTCTGCCGGATCACCACCCTCTTCTTCATCCGGGCCAGCCCCCTCTGCCTCTGCTGGGCCAGCCCCCTCTCCATCATCACCACCCTCTTCCTCTGCCGGGCCAGCCCCCTCTGCCTCTGCTGGGCCAGCCCCCTCTCCATCATCACCACCCTCTTCCTCTGCCAAGCCAGCCCCCTCTTCCTCTGCTGAGTCATCACCCTCTTCCTCTGATGAGTCATCACCCTCTTCCTCTGACTCGGCCTGGTCATCATCCTCTTCCTCTGAACTTTCTTCAGACTCCTCTGCTTCCAAGTTAGGGTTTTCTCCCACTCCCTCAGCCAAGGCAGTGCCTGGTTCCTCTCTGTCCTTTTCTGCTGGCTGGCCACCAGTGGCGGTCTCCCCCTCAGGACTGTCACCAGTTCTGTTGCCTGAATCAGGCTCCTTCTCTTTTGCAGCTAGTCCATTGCCCCCGAGAGGGTCCCCAGAGACATGACTGGTCTCTGAGCCAGAGACTTCTTTGTCTTGCTCGTTTGCATGATCCCCACCTTGCACGTGAGATTTGGCACCTTGGCTGGCATGTGGAATACGGCTCTCGTCTTCTTTAGAGCCTTCCTCCTGCTGTGTCCCCTCTTCCTCAAGAATTTCTGGCTCTGACAGAACAGGTTCAGTACTACGTCCATCTCCCTGAGGGAGCAATTCCCCGCTGGCCTGTAAGGGAGGCGTGTTCCTCTGGGAGGCCTCACTGACTTCACGTTCCTTTTCAGCAGTATCTTTGCCATTGTCAGGCCCTGAGTGGCGCTCTGCTGCTGCTGCTACCTCCTCTCTAGCCAGAGCCTTTGTTCCACCCTGGGAAACTGGCCTCTCCTCTGCAGGCAGGCGGGTGCTCTCTTCAAAACTCCCTGCTGTGGCTGGAGGAGAGTTTTGCCTGTCCTCTTCACTCCCAGCCTCTTCCAGCCTGATTTCCACCCCTGCCACATGGAGCTCCCCATCCTCCTCGCTCTCCTTTGCAGCTTCGCTCCTGCTGCCTACGGGCTGTTCTTTGGCCAGCAGCCCTTCCGTGTCTTCCCCTGGG